GCCTCTCGGACCATGGTGTTGAAGTACATGACAAGGATCCCTCCCGCTTTTTCCTTACTCTCATTATCCCTAACACTGACTGCCCGGATCTGACTGCCCTCCGAGCCAGTCTTTATGCTGGTGGTCAACACTGACCCTGCGTGATTCCAGGGAAAACTATGAACCAACCCTCCCACCCACAAACACACACAATACTTTTTAATCATCGTGTATGCTTGTGTGGATGGTTACAACGGCCTGAAATGCTACTGAGAGCTTCTTATCTTTAGCTTCAAAATATTTGATCCTAACAGAAGTTACTTGTAAGCTGCCAGCTACCTATAGTTTTACTTAAACTTCCTGGTATGTTTTTCTACCCATCCCCGACCAAACTAAGCAATTTGAAAACAAGGACCACATCCCCTATTTCCCAGGCTCCTCTCCGATCTTTTTATGCAGAGTAAGAGTAAGCGTTTAATACGTATCTGTTGTGTTATTGATTTAATATCATGGTGTGAACGGCAGAGCTCGTTTTCATCATGAGAACAGGCAGGGGAGGGTACTAGGGGCCCAGTGAGCAAACTTGGCTAGCTTGACATGATTGGAAAAACCTGACCTGTTACGCACTGGCAGTGATGGTCAATACTAAAAGCAACAGGGAAGATTCATTAGGCTAAAATGAAAAGTTGTTATGGAACAGAACTGGGAAAAATATAAAAAAAGAACATTGAATATTACTAAATAGATTTCCTGAGAAGTAGAAAAGCCTAAATCTTGAGATAATTAATGACAGAAAATATTTTCAAATGTATTGGGTTAAAAAGTCCGGGAGCACTAAAATTATCTGATTGGTCCCTTTTATGTGTAAACATTTTATATAATAGATTCCTAGAAAGTTAGGATCACCCTATACATACATACACACACACACCTGAGAGAGACAGAGACAGGACAAAGAGACAGAGAGGATGAGCTATTGACTGATTTACATTCAAAGTGAATTAAACAGTTTTAGTCTTATGGTTTTCACTCCTAGGGAAAATGCCACCTAACTCAATATAGGAATCAATTTAATAGCTGCTGGAATGTCTCCTCTGACAGGAAGTTCTCCATTTCACAGAGCAATCTGCTCCGATGCAGAGGAACCCTTTCACTGGTTTGTTTAAGGCGCTCCACATATAAAGTTTTTCTAGTGAAATATAAGGAGAGCACTAAAGCAATGAATTCATACTTCCCAGAGTTTACAGACACTGGGACCAACACCAACTTTACTCCCCCCACCTCACCACACCCTTTTCCTCACCAAAAGACAAACAGAATCCCTCCTGGTGCAGCCTGAAGTCTTTTATAATCTAGTAAAGCAAGTCTCCACTAAGGCTCAGCGTTTGGGAAGCATGGGCACTGCAATCCTCTGGAACTGTGCAAGCATGTCAAACTCAAAGGCTAACATGGGCCAAATAAACGAGGCATAGGAGTGTGACATGCTTGGTCTAGAGGCACTTTAGCACTGGAGGTACTATTTTGCCAACAATAGGAAAATACATACTTAGTGGAAAGTAATAAACCAGGGTTCTAATTCTTACCAGAGCTAATTTTCCTTGTGACTGGAGGTCACTTAATCTCTCCGGGCCTCCATGTCCTCTCCAGAAAGGAAAACATTTGACTAGATCAGTGGTCAGCAAACTGCGGCTCTTGAGCCACATGCTGCTTGCGAGCAGCGGTTTGCTGATCTGTTGACTAATGAGTTTGCCGACCACTGACCTAGACTCTTTATTCCAATAATTTTGGAATTATTGTTGTTCCTTCTGATTAAGCCCCTATCCTAGTGGTCGGCAAACTCATTAGTCAACAGAGTGGCAAACCATGGCTCTCTGATTTCCACAGTCCTGATAAAATAATTCTAAGCTCCGTTAGTGACACTGAAAAAACCTGTTCTTTTGAACTTCATGAGAGCTGTACAAATTAAATGTTAAAATGCCCTAACCTGCATCCATTCTTTATCCCTGAATTCTGAAAATGCAACAGAGACAGGTCAAATGTTGAAGGGATATTTATAGAAAATATATGTAAATTGAGAAAAACCTACCCTCCAATATTTCTGCCTTCAGTATATGGAAAAAACTGGACGTGGGTTTTATTTTAACAGAGGAACAACTATGTCCAGCTGGCAGGGAAAGGAGGAGATAGTTTGAAAACTTCTGATCACGATGTCTCTGCTGCCTTCTACCAAGGCCCCACACTAAGTGCTCTAAGCATTCCTTGGAGAAGGTGTTCTGAGCTGGGTCTGGCTTTGGGGGTGGACTTCAATCCCTGACTCTTCAAGGACCTCATTTACATTCACTGGAACCACTTTCCAATTTCTAGGCGCCTAAAAACCTCCAGACTCTTTTTCCCTCCCAGGGAAGGGATTCAGAAATTGTCTTATCGGAACGTTAGTCACCTAGACGCTTGCCAGTTCTTCGTGGAATCAGGAGCCTTGATTAATGAGGCCTCCATCTCACTCCTGACGTCTCAGTGCAGAGAGATGAGGCCAGCACCCTTACCTAGCTTCAACCGACCATCTCTGATATCAACGGGAATGCCACTATCACCCAAAGAGTGCACTTTGATACCTTCTATCAAGGCCAGCTGGCCAGCCAAACTCTTAGAAAGCAAACTCTTTATTATTAAACATTAACGTACCTATCAACACATGAACATTTTGGAACAACATGATCCTTCCCCCTCTTGAAGGGCTGTTAGAAGGGACATTGCAAGTATCCGTGCATCTTGAATTTGGGGGGAGAAATGGCTCTGCTGAACCATAAGAATCAAAACTGCTGAGAATTCATGTGCAGAATCATCATGTGAGAGCCCTCATGGCATCTGCAGGCTGCACTTGGAGAGCCACTTACATGTTACACTAACTTTCAGTGTATCAGTTTTCACATATTTTAATTACACCTTTGTCCTGCAAGGAGCCTGCACCAGCCAACTGAGCCAGACATGAAAAGTAAATATGTCTCTATACAATTATCCTAACAAGAATTAGACAGCCCTTCAAGGTACTCTGGGTGGTGAGGGGCATGCCCTTTGCCCTGCCAGTCTGTGACACAAAAATCAAAGGAGGTCGCAAAGGGCAGGGCAATCCTGGCAGTGGTTTTCATGAATAATTCAGTCTGACTACCCCACTTATGGTTGCCTCTGTCTTTAATGAAGGAAGCACTCCGGCCAGCTGTGTTGAAATAATTTACCAAAGTTTCTTGCCACAATTAATGCACAGAACCCATGCTGAGCCACATGGGGGAAGTTGACACCTTGGATATCTGTCAAGATCACCTTCTGAGAGAGAACCACTCGGATCCTGGCATTCACCAAGAGGCATCCCAGTTTGTAAAAGTCCAATAAGCTCCTTCCACTGCTCTGGGGCCTGGAGAGTGTACCCATGGAAACTGACTATAATTTTGTTTTCTGATTGTTCAGTCATTATTATTATTGGTATTTTGAATTAGGATACATTGGTTTTACAAAATGTCCTGGAATCTTAAACTCTCCTCCCTGCATCACTGCTTGGTCTGGGGGCTCGGGGTGGCTGGGCCAAAGCTCCCTCTCCCATCCCGGGGGGGGGGGGGGGGGCGCCACAGAGATGTGGGAGGGGGAGCTGCGGTCTGGAAGAGGGAGCTGGGCTCAGTCCCCTGCCCCCAGCGATCCGGGAGCAGGAGCGAAGGGTCAGGGCGCCAGTCCAGAACAGGCGCGTTTCGCTCCCTTTTTATCAAATCCTTATCGCTGCGCCGAGTGGGAACCGCAGCTTTCCACACGGTTTTTGGCTCTGATCTCCAAGTGGAAGCCAGAATAGGCGCAAATCAACACAGGCGCTGAGCCCTGTGGGCCCCCAGGTCGAGGCCAGTCACCCGCTCCCTTTGTCGCTGCGCCCCGCATCCCCACCCAGCAGCCCTTCTCCGGGCTCAGCCCCTTCAACAGGTGGTGCACTCCATTCCGCTCCCCCAATCCCAGTTCTGTCTGCCAAGCCGCCGCCTCCAAGCGCGGGGCCGACAGTTCCAGCCGCCGGGGCAGCACCAGAGGAGACAGAAGTGAGGGTCGGGCAGCCAGCGGCGCGCGGTTAGGGACGCAAAGCGGTACCCGGGCCGGTGTGGGCCGCGCGCTGCGCCTCGCTGGGAGCGGGCCGGGCGGGGAGCGGCCGGGAGGGGGCAGGAGGGCAGTGAGAGTTGGCCTGGCCGGAGTGGCCTCTCACCCAGTGCCCAGAGGCCTGTGAGGGCCGGCAGCACACCGATCGCGGCTGCCCTTCTCTGTCCTCCGCAGAGAAACCCTGGGACCAGCCGGGAGCTCCCGGTGCAGCCTTCACCTCGCTGCGCATCGAGACACCTGCCCCGGCGGCGAGGGAGCCGGGTTCACTGCCCGCCTCTCCACGGAGTCAAGAAGCGGGAGGATATGGAGGATATCGGGAAGGGAGTTTCTCCAAACTTCGGTGGGATCTGGAGGCCCGGCGTGGGGGCCCTTGGCTGCTCCCGCGCTCCGACCCCGACCCCTCGCCAGTTTGGGGCGCAGAGAGGACATAGCGACTCGTTTAGAAGGACCCAAAAGGATCCGACGGCGACGCGTTTAGAAGGACCCAAAGGATCCGACGTGGATATACATGCGAAGAGTGGAAAGTTGACCTGAGTTAAATCAAAACCTAGAAAACCATTTCCACCTGCGCGCGCGGGAGCTGGGCGCAGCGGCGGGGGAGTTACCGCGCGAGGAGCGCCTCCGACCCCGCAGGGCCGCCTCCGTGCGCGCTCGGATGCCCGATTCCTTCGGGCCACAGAACTCTCCACTGTGAGGCTGCAGCTCCGTGTCCACCAGACGGAGCACCTGCTCCCCTCTCCCCCCCCCCCCCCAAAAAAAAAAAAAAACTTCCAAATCTATCCTCGGGCCTCAAAGACCTCTCTCTGCACGGCTCCCCCAGCTGCCCTCCGCCGCGCCGCCCCGGAGCGCGCCACCCCATTCGGACGAGCTCCCGGGCCGGCCCGGCGCCCGCTTACCTCTTCTTCTCCTTGTCAGCTGTCATCGTCGCCGTGGCCCGTGCAGAGGCCGCCGAGCGCGGTGGGAGCTGCAGCCGCCGCTGCCTTCGCAGAGTCCGGCCGGTGGAAAGGTCCTAGGCGCTCGCAGGCCCGGGAGCCGCACGCAGCCAGGTGGACGTTTGCGGACGGCTGGCTGGCGAGGTGCGGGGACCGGGAGTGGAGAAAGGTGACAGGGAGGAACCTGCCCCGGGAGGCGGGGTCAGAGCCAGGAGTGGGAGGAGGCTGTCAAACGCCAAAAAAAAAGAGGGCAGCGAGGAGGGCACGGACGTTCCCTCTTTCCGAGGAGGCGTCCCTTTTCCTAAGAAGAGACGTCGCCCCGACGGCCACAAGTTCGGAGAGTCCGGGGCGCAGGCCGAGAGGACCATACAGTCTCAGGACACTGCCGAGGATTGTACGGCCGGCTCGGGGCGCGGGGCGGGCGCAGCGGGCGCCGGAGCAGTGCGGCGGGCCGCTCCCGGAGGTCTGGCTCCCCGGGCTGCCCGCCCACTTTAAAAACTCCGGCGGCGCGCGCGGGGGAGGCGCGGGGGCGGGCGGGCACGGGGGGGGGCGGGGCGGGGCGGGCGCCCGGGCAGGCCCCGCCCGCGGAGCCCGGGCAGCCCACTGGTCCGGGCCAATGGCAGGGCGCCGCCGTCCGGGGCCACGGCCCGCCCCCCTCACCCCTCCCCGCCCCCTTACCCCTCCGCGCCCCCCCTCCAACCCTACCCTCCCCAGCGCCGGCTCCGCCGCGGCCCGCCCGCCCCGCCTCCTCCCCCTGCAGCTGCGGTGGTTGTTTATGAGGTTGGCAGGTAGCAAGGTGGGACTCCACGCCATGTAGGGGCAGAGTGTGTGTATGGGGGCCAAAGCGACCGCGTCTTCGGGAGCGGGTGTCCTCCCGCTCCCGCCGCCGTGCCCTTGGGACGAGGGCAGGACGCGAGCGCCTGGAGAGGGCACCGCGCGAGGGTGCGTTGGGCAGAGCCCGTCGGCAGTCCCCCGCCCCGCTGCACAGACCCTAGGCTAAGGTGACCAGACGTCCCGGTTTTTAACAATTTGTCCCGCGGCGTTTTAAAAAAATCGGGACTTTTTTTTTTTTTTTTTTAACGACGCGGGATAAATTGTTAAAAAGCGGGACGTCTGGTCGCCTTACCCTAGGCCCAGGTGGGGATAATTTTCCCACCCCCACCGCAACCCCTGGGGCAGAACGCCCTGACTTTGCCTTTTGGGAAAAGAGACCGGGAAACCGATCTCCTGCTTCTGTCCGGTCTTGGGGAAACTATAGTGAAACTGTGGTGCGGCTGCGCCTCTTCTTTGCTTGCTTGCGGGGTTGTGCTAGGCTAGGAGGTATTCGGCTTTGAGCGGGATGAAGGAGAAGAGGGCCTCTGAGCCCTCTGGCCTGTCAAACCCTACTCCCAACTCCGGGCCACTCGGCCAGCTCAGAATTGGACCAGTGAGTCCGGCTTCCCACCCAGGATGATCATGGGAAAGGAATTGACACCATGTCCTCCAATCACGAGACCGCAGGCCTGCCTGATGTGTCTGGGGAGTCTGATGGAAGGCTGCAGTGTCAGGTGTGGGGAGATGGACGCTCTGAAGGGCAGGTGGTTAGAGCGCAGGGATATTTCAGCTGCGCTTTAAGGGCTGCCTTCACCCGTCGCCTGAGCCCCTGCCCTGCGCTCAGCTAGACACCCATTCCCTGCCTAGATTACTGGGATCCAGCAGGGGCTCAGGGAGGCTCTTAATCTCTGAAGCTCTGAGAGGGCCCAGAGGCTTCACAGATCAGAGTTGAGGAGCAGAGAAAGCAAAGACCAGGGAAGTGATTCCCCCCCTCCCCCCCCCCCCCCCGGGACTGGAAACGGTGCTGTGCCTTTCCCCCTTAGCTTGCCCACCACAATTTGTACTGCAGTAGCTGAAGTAGCCATTCGTAGAAACAAAGTAGAAAGGTGGTTATCAGGGGCTGAAGGGGAACAGGGGAAGGGTTGGGAAGAAGTGTTCAATAGGTACATAGGTATAAAAAAGTCCTAGAGATCTGTTGCACAACAGTGTGAGTACATTTAACTACTGTACACTTACAAATGGTTAAGATAGTAAATCTAAGGCTGCGTATGTTTACAATACAAAAATAAATGTCAATAAAAATAATCTAAATGGAATTTAGGGAGACTAGTTTTGTGTCACCACCAAAATACAAAATAAACACCTATTTTTTCCCTTGCACGTGGTTACAGAAAAAGGGATATCTTCCACGAGCTTTTGGAAAAGCAGAGTTAGGGAGAGATGGGAAAAACCTGGAAAAGCACATTTTCTCATTTTCCTAGAACCAACGGGAACTGTGCACGTAGCTTTAAAACCAAATGCCAGGCATTCAAACAAAAATTTCAAATTTATCTCAGGAGCCATTGCTTGGGGCTGGTGGGTTTTAAAAAGGGGGTGACTTCATAGTGGGCTTCTCAGCCAGCTGATCCTAAAGGACACATTTACCTCAATGAGGAATTCAAATTGTAAGACCAGGTTCTCCCTTAACCAGCAATAAGCTTACTCATCTCACTTGGGACTGGAGTGGGAGAAGAAGCAGGTTCTTTTCCAGGTGCCCAAAGCCATTCCCTGCCAGAGCAAGGAGAAACCACTGAGCCCTGGGCTGTGCTTGCCAACCACAAAGCCACACCTCCAGCCCTCAAAGGACATTTCAGCAGGGTAGCGCTTATGAAATTAGCTTTTTAGAGATGAAAAAAAAAGAAAGAAAGAAGAAAGGTGAAAGGTCCCTGAAGAACATAACAGCCATATTAATATCACTCCTTCCCCATGGCCAGCTTGCCCATCTTTCTAATTGGGATTGTGCCCTCTAAGCAAAAGGTCCCAAGTTATGATAAACACTTGGACAGATTTTGTGGAAATCCCAGTGAGTAACTTTGAAGTCTGGGATTTTGGCAGTGTCAGGAGAATCACCAAAAGCCTGTACAATTCCCAGAAGTCTTAGACCCAGCCTTGCTTAGAGGGGCCCAATGACCTCTTAAGATTCCTTCCAGGATCCAGTTCAACAACTTTGCAGGAAGTTGCTGGGAGTATAAAGACCAAGGCTATGGCTAGGGTGTCCCATTTTACTTTTTAAAGCTTATGGAGAACTAAAGAAGAAACGTTTTAAAAGATGATGGGAAAGCTGGGTCCCAGGACTTCTTGTCTCTAGAGACATTGATGTTTTAGCCACAGAGGGCAGCAGAGGGCACCGCTAAGCAAAGCTCCCAGGCTGCTTAAAATGGGGACCCACTGCTAATCTCCCAGCAAATCTCTCCACCTGTCTCCCAACTCTAGTCTGGACTGCTTGGAAACAAAGGCCATGGTAGCAGGAAAATACCCACTTGTTTTAACAGTGAACGAGACTTGGTCTCTAGCTTCCTCTCTCCTCCATAGAGCACACTCTTAAGAGAAGCATGAGTAGAGATAAGGATTTAGTTTACAAGCTGGATAGAGAGCCAGCAACAGGAATGAAGTGGGCAGGTGGAGAAAGAGGGCATCGGTCATCCCTTAACATATAGACAGGATGGCCCGGAATGTGGTTGGAAATCAAGTTGGGATGGGTTGGATCTAACAGCAGAAGAGACCTTGGCTATTTCTTTAGTGTTTTACAACTTTCAGTGCATTGAAGCAAGGAAGGCTTCTGGGGTGAAAAGGAGAGCTCTCATGCCTGTTCCTGCACTAGTCCTGGTCCTACAACATTTGTTGTCTCCAGAATTCCCTATCTGGCCCTGGTCTGGCCATTTAGTTGGTTTTGGGCTGGGGAGAACATGCAGCCCAGGGAGTGGAGGTAGAGTGAAGGCCTATCTGGCAGAGGCCATGGTTCCTCCTCTATTGAAGTGCTTTCATTGAGTCACCCCTTCCCTCACACTTGCATGTTACTCCCCCAAAACAAAACCAGCTCTTAAATGGTGACTTCTCAAAATGTATTGCTCACACACCCTGCCACTGTCCTCCAGGGCAGGAAACCATACCGCCTGTGTTGGGCTTCAGGCCAAAGCTGTGGGATATTTCACAGACACATATGCTTTAGCCACCATTAAATGTTGTGACAAATCCAGAAGTTGTCATCTTTCAAAAAGAGTTCTGTGATGTTTATTGAGAAAAGGGTAAAGCTTTGTTCCCCCTCCTCCCTACTGATTAGGATCCCATTTTAAAGAACCACAGCGCCACCCATCCCTCATACCTGGATTATCAACAACATAGAGACTAATGTCTTCCATTCATTCCTAAATTGGGGATGAGATTTTGGTCCATGAAAGGTCTTGTCTGTTTATCGTTCTGTCATTCAACTAAGAGTGAAGAAGTCACTCTTAATAGTCACTCTTAAAATAAGACCTAGCGCATGGAAAGATAAGACATCCCCTGAAAATAAGACCTAGCGCAACTTTGGGAGAAAAAATTAATATAAGACACTGTCTTATTTTCGGGGAAACAGGGTAGAAAGCATCCATCTGCTGGAAATGAGAGCCAGCTGCCTCCTTTTCTCCAGGAGCAAACAATTCAGTTGTATACACACTGCATTTCCCAGATTGTGCCTACATGTTTACTCACTTTTTAAGGCTTCCAAAATCAATAAGCATCTTTTAATGTCATAATGATTTCTAAGCTATTTTTAAATTCATATATGTAATTTACAGATACTTTTTATTTTAATTTGTATTGAATTCAAAGAAGAGAGAGGAAGAGATAGAAACATCAATGATGAGAGGAAGTCATTGATTGGCTGCCACCTGTACCCCCTCCACTCACCTCCTTAGTGGGGATCAAGCCTGCACCCCAGGTATGTGCCCTTGACTGGAATCAAACCTGGGATCTGCAAGCTGATGCTCTATCCATTGAATCAAACCACTTAGGGTCAATTTATAGATTCTTAATTGAAATCATATAAAAAATGAGAGCAAAATCATATAATTTAAACAATAGGTGTTGTAAGAATTTGGTGGTGGTGGGTGGAAATGTGGAGTGAGTGAGTGAAAAAGCAGAAAAAGCTACAGTCCCA